TTAGCATTAGGTAAGACAAAATCTTTCATATACCAAAAGCTTTTGAAAAAATAAAATTTTGACTTTCCATTCAATGCTCGATGCTTGCTGATTTTGACTCTTAAAAACAACGCCAAACCTTATACATGTACGTTGGTTAAACATAGATTTTAGACTTCAGCAAGGTTTTCTTTATTTACACAAGGATGTGTCCATAGTTTTTATTCTTAATTCTTCATCGTATTATTATGTGTCAAACGAAGTCTATGAGTAGACGTAAACTAAATGGCATGGTAACATTTTTGTGTGGAAATTTCATTTTTTTTTGCAATTCTTACACATGTACATGTACCTTATAATTATAGCCAGAAATAAACAACTAGACGTAATCCTGGGTCTTGATGCCTCCGTAAACACCAAGAATGAAGAGGATTTTAATTTCCAACGTGAATTTTTCAAAGAAATAACAGAGACCATTTACAACCACAGCAAAACAAGTATACGTGTGGGAGTGTTTGCTTATGATGATACTATTAAACTCTTTCCACAAAAAAGAATTTGGTCAGATCAAAATAGTACCAAAATAGATGTCATAAATAATATAGACAGTCTAAACTACACAAGTGAAAATGACAATCCCTACTTAGATCATGCTCTTCGATTTGTTTTGGCGACTTTTGATGATGACAGGGCTGATAATAGAGAGCGAGAATGCAGCGAAAAAGTTTTGATAATGGTGGTTACAGACCAAGTCAAAAAATGGACAGATGGATCAAAAGAGTTGGCCAGACTAAAGGAAATGGGGATAAAGTCGTTCTTTATTGTAGTGGGAAAGAATGGCAAGAGTGTTAATGTAATTAAAACAGAGGAATACTCATTTGTTACCTCCTTCAAAGAATTGGGCTCCTCCGAAATCCTGAAGAACTCATCGAATTTCTTAGAAAGAACACTCATCAAAGGTAAGGGAATCAACTTAATCATGATAAATTAAAGTTAAAACATACAGCAGAAGACTCGGTGTTCTAATAATAACTTTAAGGTATATAAAACTTAAAACACACTTTTAATATACTGTAAATCACTTTTTATTCACAAGAACATTATTTTCGTAATTACGCGAAGTCCTGTCTCCTCGCGAAAATTCCATTCTTGCATAAATTAATTTGGATCAACTCCCTTACTTTTGACACAAATAATTAGTGGAGTATTGTTGTTGATCCATTTTTTTTTACAAAATACAAAGTGCAAAGCGTCTTAATTGGTGGGGTGTTGGGGGATAACATTGATGCCTAATTTTGGGTAGTAAAGTTTAATATAAGGTATCAAATTGTTTTTCAGCTCTATTTCTTTAACAAAATTATAGGGTGTGGGGTGTCTATTTTTAACAAAAATCAAATTGCATAGCATTTAAGTTGGGAGGGGGTGGAGGCATAATATGCATATGTAATTGGGCAGTTTCCCTTATACCTAGTAGAAACATATCATGTATGCTACATGTACAAGTTTCAGTAATTTTAATTATTTACCTACATAATTAGTATATTTCATAGTTCCAGAAAATATGCATTTTTTCGTAATGAAAAATAACAATGTACATCGAGAGTTTATTTGAACTTGTGGCATAGGCGTCGGAACCGGGGGGGCTATGCATTGAAAATTGGGGTTTACTTTTTTTGTTGGTTTAGCCCCCCCCCCCCCCACACACTTTCAATTTAACGTGCAAACCCAAATTCCCAGACACCTGTTGGTTCCCATAGACTCGACACCGCTTTTAAACTGGTTCCCTAGCGGAAATGATTATTGTCAACTCGTACATAAAATGTCAGGGTTTTGAGACAGTGAAAATGCAATATCTGAAGAAATATTTCGTCACTGAACTTGAAAAATAATAGGCCTCTTTCTTTTATACTGCCACACAAGTATGTAAACGCTGAGAATGGTTAATGCAAAGGTTTTCTGTCAATCTTGCCCACAAATGATTATTGTCAACTCGTACGTAAAATGTCGAGGCAGTAAAAACGCGATATCTGAAGAAATGTTTCATCAGTGAACTTGAAAATGAATAGGTTTCGTCCTTTTATACTGCCACACAAGTATGTAAACGCTGAGAATGGTTAAATGCAAAAATGCTCTGTACACTGCTTTGCCCACAAGGTAACGAACACACTAACACACACACACACACACACACACATACATACGCACATTCGCGATGCTATATCCCCTCCGCAACTAGTTGCGCCAGGGGATAATAAAGTAACCAAAATACCTTATCTTATCACGTTCAGAAAAAATATTCGTAGAAAAATGTCTAAAAATCATTGATTTTCATAAGGATTTATGAACACGTTGCTATGGAAATGAATTTCCTTGGATACCAGTCCCTTCATACGTTCGAAAAAAATTTTAATTGTGTTTTAGCATTAGGTAAGACAAAATCTTTCATATACCAAAAGCTTTTGAAAAAATAAAATTTTGACTTTAGATTCAATGCTCGATGCTTGCTGATTTTGACTCTTAAATAAATTAAAATCTAAAGTCTTTCTATTGTAAGCACATCAATGTAATCATAAGAGGTCCAATCGAAATACTCTGTGTTGTAAAGTGTAAATTAAGTTATTAATTTAATAATTAATAAATTACACTGATACAGACTTTGTTTAAATAAATATTAATAAAGAATAGACGAGAAGTTGTGCATTAAATTTATCAGAATATAATGTTCTAACTGTAACTGATATGACGTTTAACGTTTTCTTTTAAACCAAACACAAAAATGTTCAAAATGAAGTTGAATTATCTAAATATCAATAAAATTCTTTTTCTGCAAAATATGTTTTAAAATATATCTAAAATTAAGTGTTTAAACACAAAAGCTGATCAATTCAACATCAGTTGTACCAGCAGCTTACTTAAACAAGGGACTGAACAATGAGAAGCGCGGGATCAAGGCGTAAGGATTTGTCCCAAATCTCAATTTATGGAAGTAAGATAGTATACACAAGAAAGGGATACTCCCCAAATGTGGGATAATACACAGTGTATATGTTCTTTTGTTTTAACCTTGTTTCCTGTGTGTTTGGGATGCTATTACGATTGAACATCCCAATGTACGTATTTTAGTTGCTGTTAGCACTTTTATACGGAGAGAGTATTCACTTGCATTCAATTTCCAATTTACATCCTAGTAAATCAACTTAATAGACTTTTAGAAGTAAATAACAAATACGGTTATAATTCTAGGTTATGAATATTTATTTAATAACAAATAAGAAACATTTTATTGTGCCGATGTGTTACAGTGAAAAATATATGCATTAATACATTCAAATGTAAAAGGCAAAATATTTAGTAAAAATATTTTTTAAGTATAAAACATGTTACTTTCTTTCTAATAAAATGTGCAACAAATACAGCAAGTGGTCCAATAAAATGATGTGAAAAATACTCCCCCAGTCTGAATGAAAATCAATCCGTACTTGGTTAAAACATATTATTATACCTCTACTGATTTTTCCCTATATAGAATTAAGTGATTAGATCTGAAAAATTCCCTAGGAATCGCTATGAATCGATTAATCGTCGTGCGTTAGTTTTTTGAGCTAATTCCTCGGTCGAAAGCTACTCATGCTAATTCGCGGTTATAGCTTTTTATTGCGACGTCATAATAGAGCGAAGCAAAAACACAATGCTTCGTGACGTAGTTCATATTACAAAACGCAACAAAATAAGACGTAAACAACAAACAGAATTAGGGAATAGCTGTCTTCTAATTTGGTATTTGCGACGAATAAGGATTAGTTAATCTGTAACTGAATATTTTTTTTAAAGGTGATCTTTATAATTTAAATTCGTATCGATGTAATAAAACAGTTATATTATATCATTGAGGGAGTTAGCAAGATTCCAGTTCCCCTCGACCAGGACTATTTCCCTCGGCATGCTGCGCCTCGGGAAATAGTCCTGGTCTTGGGAAACTGGAATCTTGCTAACTCTCTCAGTGATATCAGGGACCTATATACTAATATTTCCATTTCTAATTTTTTTCTCTGTGATAACTCTTTGAAAGTTGTCGGATTTTATTTTTTGATAATTCTGCCGGAATGTAAATTAGGCAGGTCGATAGATCAGGAGCTAAGGAGGCCTAATACGCATGCAAATCTCGTGCGCATCTGTCTCTTTGTCTGACGCTAAGGAGGCCAAATATGCATGTGCACCGTGTGGCTGCCTTTGGTGTTTGACGTCAGTGGGCGAGGACTATTGAAAAATTCGTGTGAGCATGTCTACATTTCCTTGTAAAAGTCTAAATCATTTTTAAAGTCTAAATCTACAATTTTATTTCACAATGAAATGGCAAATATAAGGAATCACTGTCTAGTTTTGAGAGTATGCCAGGGGCATCAACAAAAGTAGGAAACATGGAATAATTTTATCATAACGGGCTTCGCCCGTTATGCAAATTATCCCATGTTTCCCACTATTGTTGATGCCCTGGCATACTCTCAAAACTAGACAGTGATTCCTTAAATATAGGTCCCTGGTGATATACTTTAACCGTATATTTACATACATATTATTTTAAGAAGCTGGAGAGAGAATAAAACTATTTCATTTATATTTGTGTTTTCTTGAAATTACAGAGCCGTAGTTATGGAGGCTCAAATCAGATTTCATACATTGCAAAATTTTCAAAGTTCGAGTGAAGAACACTGAAAATATTTCAGAAAAAAATATTTTCCTTAACATGCTTAAACATGAATATCATCAGTGAAATATGGCATCTTAAAATCAAGGATTTTTTTCAACAAAAAATTACAATCCTTTAATAATGCTTTCTAAGATAAACAACTCCTGCACAGTATAAGATTTTTTTGTCTATAGTGGAATAGAGTTATCTTTCTTAGTATGTATTTGGGCAAAAAGGCTAAGAACGACAACTGTTATTGAATAACGTATAATAAAGTCACTTCAAAAAACGATGAAAAATCCATTGTGGCTAATATGATTTAAAAGAACAAATCCTGAGAACTATTCATACTAAGGTGACCCTGTGACCTTTATTTCCGATCCAGTCTTTGGTCTGTGTTTCTGTGCGGAATTCCTGGAACTAAATGACAAGCATTATAGAACCCCGATCAGAGCTGTCCATATGTTTAGAGTATTCTCCACTTTTTTATAATTTGAATCACAAACTCAAACAAAAACTTACCATGTAGATTGCGTACAATTATTTTTTTCGGCTTTCCTTTCAGTTTGTGGGCGTTTGGCAGAAATTGGGGGACCTTTGTCTTTATTTCTGTATTAACAAAAGATTAAAGGAAATACCTGTTTACCAATCACATGAATGTCTCCAGTCTTCCTTACCACATTAGAATGTTGGAAGATTAAAAATATGTCTAATCTATTTTATTGAAAAAGGTAGAATTCTTTAAAAAAAAAAAAAGGTTAGTTATAGGGGAAGTAACCTACGTCTCTTTTCCCTGATCCGATTTCCCTGGTTCTTTTTTCGCTGCCTGAAGATTTTTCCTTAGTTTAAGTATCGTTGCTCCGCTTTCCTTTTGCAATCTTTTCTTTTCAGATCGCAGCTTCTCGTTTTCTTTTTCAAGGTCCCTGTAAACATTAAAATAACAACCTCCCTTATCAAATAAGAACTGGTAATTCACATCTATGAACAGTTACAGAAGTAAATGAAGTTATACCTGTATCGCTGGCTTTTATCAGAACTGTTAGATTTCTCAGACAAACCGTCAATCTCTGACTGCAATATTTTCACTTGTTCTTTCAGGGCTCTGTTTACAAAAGTTAAAAAGTATAAATACCTGTCCTATTCAGTAAGATTTTATAATCTGACAATAGCTCTTAAACATTTTTGCAATTAAAAAAAAAATATTTATAAATATCATTTTATTTTTAAATCATGATAAGTGCACGAGCTTGCAACAGTTATAAAGGAAATAAAGGAATACTGAGTTTTTAGCAAGTACATGCACTTGAATAATGTTCAGGCCTCACATGGCTAAAGAGCTGTCAAAATTATAGCAAAGCCAAAACTTTAAATGTATGAATATAAACCGACTCAGTGCTCTCGTTATTGCTGCTTGCTGACTCTCTGTAGGCAGCCCTCTCCTCTTCTAGCTGGGTCTTCAAATCCCTCAAAGAACGCAACTCTTTCTCCAAGTTACTGCAGGCAAAAAGTCAACTAATTAAATTTCTTAGAATATCACATAATGGCGTCAACATCAAAGCCATGTAATGACACGAGTTACCTTTTCCTGATGGTGACTGCGTTCAGTTTAGACTGTAGAGATTTCACCTGCTTCTCGTTCTCTAGTGTAACTTTGTCCAGCTCTTGTTGTAGGGCTTTGTTTTTCTCCAGCAACTCCGCTAAATCTCGTTCATGCAATCTAAACTTAAATAAAATAAATGAATTTTTCAGGAAATTTTTTTCAAATTGAATATTTTTGGCTTTAATTTTATCCTGTTTCGTAGTATAATTGCGCTCTCTCTCTCTCTCTCTCTCTCTCTCTCTCTCTCTCTCAATTCATTCTAGATACGTACCAATTGTTTATCTACTCTTCACACATTTGTTTACATGTACTTGTAATCGTACCTTAATCTATAGAAAAAAAAAATCAGAATGGAAAAATGGAATTAATGTCACTGCAATAAATTTTCGCAGCAAGTAGGAATCGTAGGAATCAACATGGGGTTGTATGATTAGGTTGTAAAATTTAGTGGTATATCAATTTGATAAATGACAATCAATGTTTATAAATGAGTGTAGGACATTTTAATCAGTTGTTAAAATACCCAATATGTCACATTGCTTACACAGTCGCTTGTGTAATTATGTGCCGGATAAAAAAATTCACCTATTAAAGAAATTAAACAAATTACCTTTAGATACGTATATATAACTCTCTTTGTGTTAATGGAAAAAATATAATTGTCCTGTAAGATCAATTTGTACTTATTTTTCAAGATCGACCATTGAAAATTTAAAAGAATTAAATCACAATTAATAGTTTTTCTATAGCTAAACTTAAAGAAATTCAAGCTTAAAGCTTCATTTTGTAATTTACATTGTACAATATTAATTCATCATTACTTTGAAAATTTACAGTGAGAGTATGTAACTTAGCTAATACAGGTCTATAGTATTTTCACACCTGTTAGATTTTGATTCCGTGTAGAAGCTCTAATTGCAACTCTTGTCAAAACAAATGATTCGTATAGCATGATTATCTCGTGAATTTCACCATCAGGAGACGATCGATAGGGATTAGTTACGCTCTACTGCACTTGACACCTGTGTTGTAGTAGAATGATTTTAAACTGCGTTAATACAAATCTTGGTCAATTGAATAATTTTTTGTGTGTGTCTGTATGTTAGATAGAAATTCTGACAGCTTTATAAAAATAATATTAAACATTTACCAGACTTTAAAATCTTCAGCAATTAAACTAGTTGATCGAGGATTAATTGAAGGGGGGGGGGGGGGGGGGTTTCACTGCTGATCATTACCTGAACATATTATAGTGGGTTTTTAAAAATTTTATTTACACTTACTGAAATAAATTTTTTTTTAAATTCACCATTAAACTGTCTTTTAATTAAAGCTTTTATATTTTTTTTTTTAAAAAAAAAAGAATAAAGGCACATTTATTTTTTTCTTGAATGATTTGAATGTTAAAAAAACATAAGAGTTCCCGAAAATAGTCAAAAATATGTCGGCAATTTTTTAAATATTAAAAAATTTACCCGGGAAATTGTAAAATTTACCGGACATTAATTTTTTGTATGTAAATTTAAAAATTTAAAAATTTTAACAAAAAAGGATTTTAAAAATTTAATTTGGTGATTTTTGTCTCTCATTGGTTGATTTCCAAAAAAGGGAAAGCATAACATTTTGTATAATTGGTTTGGTAGGGGGGAACCCCCCCCACAACCAGCTAACCTGACCACCCCCTCCCAAAACCCTTTATTTAAAAAATTTCCCCAAATTTTTTTGAATGTACCTTTAACTTGAAACAGTTGCTCGATCTTACCTCATGTAAAAAAAGCATCATGGCTGCTATATCTATGTATCAGTTTTTTCCTTCCCCCTTGCTTCCCATCACTTCCGTTACTACGGTTGTATTATTGCGCGGTAAATTTGAACTAATAAAAACAACACAATTTTACATCCCCAGTTGTTTAATTATTTTAAAATTAAATTATAAGGAATGACTCTAATTTGGAAATTATCGAGTAAATGGGTTTGGGGCAGTTTACGCTTTTTTTTAATCCGCTTTGCGGATTATAAAGCGTAAACTGACCCAAACCATATTATACTCGATAATCTGGCCAAGAATTAGAGTCATTCCTTAAATAAAAAGATGGCAGATTTAAAAAAAAAAATTATTGAAATATTTTGTATATGGCCTTTGTATGCAGGATTTGACGTTGCCGAAGGCGTGTGATGACCAACGCTTAATTCATGTATAAATTTATTATGTCCTTTCTGACAGATTTTTAAAATGTTTTTAAAAAAAAAAACTGCAACATGACAACTCTTGGTTGATTGTTTGGAAAATATGTTGTTTTCCAGGCTTTTTTCTTTTGGATTTTTGTATTTTATGTGCCAGGAAAAATATTACGTTAAATATCAAACTCGTTTTAAAAAGCCTGGTAAAACGTCCGATATTTCTGAAATAAAAATTTATTATAAACCTCCATACAGTTAAAAATATGTACTAATGATATAAAGATATGCAAATTTATCATGAAAATGATGATTTTAAGTGAATTTGTTGTCGTTTTACTACATTCAAGTCAATCCGGTTTTTTAGAAAAGGGGAAAAAGCGCTTGTATTTTAAATGCTATCAAATACATTTTAAAAAATCCAGAAGTTGGTATAATATTATCATGCTAATAGATTAAATTATAGAGAAAATAATAAATGGTAACAAATTGTCTGTAATCAAGCAGAAATAGCAGGCACTCTTGCAACCCTGCAAATTCGTCCTTCAAAACGAAAGTAGATTGTCACATTTTTTTTTACTGTCAGAACTACAGAGTGCATATATTTATCATGGAAAATATTTGTTGACAGGGTTTTTAAAATGTTTTTCCCCCCAGACTTATGGAAAAATTTTTATTTTAATATGTAGCTTTTTTAAAAGAGACAATCAACGTCTACATTTTATTTAAACAAGATCTGGCGATGCCCTGACGTTTTTTTTTTGTTTTTTTTATTCCTTTAGTTTTGCATTTGTTTATTGTCAGGACAATTGAATTAAATGATTTTGTTAATATTATATGTAAAGATTATACACTCTGTTAAAAAAAAAAACCATCGGACATTTTGACCAATAAAATTAAGATTTTACCGGTCCCATTCCCAAAATTCACCGGGGATCCCCGGTGGACCGGGCGTTTCTGGGGAAATCTGAACACTTATGAACAAAACCTTAAAAATTTAATTTGGAATTCTTTAATTTCATATTTTTTAAATAGGCATGGATTAATATATATATACACACATACAAAGGTTTTGTGAAATTGACATGTTTAATTTAAAACAACTGTAGTGGTTATTGCTGTTTATTTATTGACTGACTGGCTACTTTTTGGGGGAAACTGGGAAAAAGAGGCCACCTGTCTTAAGTGGCTAGTTTCTGGACTTCCCAAAAACTTAAAACAAGTTTGACTGTACTTTTTCCCCTTTTACCAATATAAGAAAGTAGTTCACAGTACATGACAACTATGCTTTAAATAAATTTCGATGAATTTTAATTTTGTAACTCGGAATTTTTGTATGTGATATAAATAAACATTTGCTTCTGTATTCCTTTGTAGAGTTCAGATACTGAAAGTGAACATCAGTGGGAAATTTGATGATCTAGGCCGCTCTATTTTTGCAGCAACACCAGCATGGTCGGAATTCAAAAAGTTAAAAAAACAAACCTATGACTTGAACACACAATTTGTGATCTGAATATAGTTCACAAATTTAAGGAAAGCAACTATCAAAGACATCCAGATTGATGGTTAGTACATGTTATAAGTGCCCATAAAATCAAGACAACAATATTATTTTACAATAAATTAAAAAATAACCTGTTAAAAAAAAAAATTTAACATTATCATTTATAAATATATTTTACTGTATTTTTTTTTTGACAGGTATACATGAAGTATGAATGAAAGACTTTTCAGAAGAACAAGCACAATCCCATTTATTCTTGCCATTGTCTTCTCCAGACGGTGACATTTAGGACCTACTTACTTTTCAGAAAAAAAAGATGAATCGATTTTTATAGTTGATCTTAAAAAGATAACATTTTCAGGGGTCGTGGATTGAATGACATTTTCTTGCAATCTCCCATGCAGAGTTGTCGTTCGTTCCTCTCTCAGACACCTCTGTTCCTCTCTCAGACACCTCTGCAATGGGCTCACGTCAAGATTTTTACATAACGTGTAAAACTTGATATTTGAAGAATTGTTTCAATTCAAATCAATAGTTCTGGATTGATTTAGTAAATATCTATCTAAAAATTCAGACATAAACATAGAAATTGAATTGTAATAATTAAAACAAACGCACTATTTCTCGTGTTTAAAACTGTGTATACGCGAGCCAACGACAGAGGTGAATGTATGAGCCGATGGTAGAGAGTGATTTTCTTGATGGGCAACTAGTTTCAAGTATTTGGATGTCTATTCTCAAGTTACTGCAAACCTTAAATTAACTTCTTGATTATTAGTTAAATGTGAGACCGTTTCTTA